ACATAATTCAACCTTCAAGCAGTCCTTGGGCCTCTCCAGTCGTACTGGTTAAGAAGAAAGACGGGACGCTTAGGTTCTGTGTAGACTACCGGCAGCTGAACACGGTGACGAAGAAAGACGTCTACCCACTCCCCCGCATTGACGACACTCTAGACCGGCTGCGCCACTCTCGATATTTCTCATCGATGGACCTGAAGAGCGGCTACTGGCAGATCGAAGTCGACGAAAGGGACCGAGAAAAGACAGCCTTCGTCACGCCGGATGGACTGTACGAGTTCAAAGTGATGCCCTTCGGACTGTGCACGGCGCCAGCAACTTTCCAACGTGTCATGGACACCGTACTGGCAGGACTGAAGTGGCAGAGCTGTCTCGTCTACCTGGACGACGTCGTCGTGTTTTCCAGCGACTTCGACGAGCACTTGCGACGACTCCGAGCAGTTCTCCAAGCCATACGGACCGCCGGACTCACCCTGAAGCCGTCAAAGTGTCGGCTCGCTTATGACGAACTGAAGTTCCTCGGCCACGTGGTTAGTAACGAAGGTATCCGCCCAGACCCCGAGAAGACTCGTGCCGTCGCAGCATTTCCAGCGCCAAGAGACAAGAAGGCCGTCCGAAGGTTCCTTGGGCTATCTGCCTACTATCGGCGCTTCGTTCGAGATTTCGCAAGAATTTCCGCACCGCTCACACACCTCACGAAGGACGACGAGAAGTTCGAATGGGCCGATGAACAGCAGCAGGCATTTGACGAGCTGAAGCGACGACTGCAGACTCCTCCTGTTCTTGGACATTTCGACCAGGATGCGGAAACCGAGATTCACACGGACGCAAGTAACGCAGGGCTTGGCGCGGTTTTGGTTCAAGTACAAGAAGGCACCGAGCGAGTCATCGCCTACGCAAGTCGGACATTGACCAAGGCGGAGAGAAATTACTCCACGACTGAAAAAGAATGCCTTGCGGTCGTCTGGGCAATCACGAAGTTTCGTCCGTACTTATACGGGTGCCCGTTCCGGGTAGTCACGGACCACCACTCGCTCTGCTGGCTTGCGAACCTCAAGGACCCGTCAGGACGCCTCGCGCGGTGGAGTCTCCGACTACAAGAGTTCAACATGACCGTCGTCTACAAGTCAGGCCGCAAGCACAGCGACGCCGACTGCCTGTCCAGAGCTCCCGTCGCAACACCTTCCGGCAGCAGCGACGACGATGACGACGAGTGTTTTCTGGGCGCAGTGAACATCGACGACATGGCCCGGCGTCAACGAGACGATCCTGAGCTGCGCGCACTAATAGAGCACCTGGAAGGGCGCGGGAGTACCGTGCCACGTGTTTTTTCACGAGCGCTGCCGACCTTCGCCATTAGACAAGGTGTACTCTACAAAGAGAACTTCGGGAACAACAACTCGCCATGGCTGCTGGTAATCCCGACCGACCTTCGGGAGGAGATCTTTCCCCTTAGCAAAAAGAGACCGTACTTCAAACGAAGTTGAAATATATTGAATACGAATATTCGTTTTGTATTTATTCTGTATTATTTTGGCCGCACTCGAAATACGCGCGTAATGCAATCAAAATACATTATAAATATGAATAAAAAAATATTGTAGATATACCAAAAATATTATCCCCTCCCACTCAAGATGCCATTTGTGCATTAAAAACCGGTTACACAATTTTTTCTTAATTTTCGATATTGTCAGCAAATGGTGTCCCTGTGGTAGATGAAGGCACTAAATACATCTCACAAAGCTACATTAGAAACGAACATAAACACAAACACCATGACGCACTGAACAGCTCATTCACAGTCCCGTTGACTGCTCTAGAGCCTTATATAGCCTACATATTGAAGGTAATCATTTTTTCGGTGACCACCTCTGCACTTATTAAGGTTACAAGTATTCTATCTTCTCCTCGGGAGTCTGTTAAACGGGAAACAGTGTTTTGAAGTTCGTGGACGATATCTCTTACTAAAAAGCATTGGTACAACTAATAACAATTCGGCGCAGTCCCTAAAACAATATCCACACAAACGGCTCATAAAATACACGTTATTGCTTCTCTGCGAAGCACCACTCAGGACGAAGCGAATCAAGGCAGTTTCTTCACTTTAAAATACTGTAAACAACTTTATTTTCGTGAGGACCTAATTCTCGCAAAGTTCGCGAATCGCCTACAATTCGGAAAAATAGGTCCTGTGAACAATTCCGGCAAAATGTAAAAACATTAAAATCTATATTGCGATCCCAGCGCGTCGCAAAAATTAGAATTTGCGATTTATTCCAAAACTCCAACTTTGACCTAAATCGCGAAATATTGAGCCCGCGAAAAATAAGTATTTCACAGTAGTTATTTTGCCTTTCCTTTTTAGTAGTAGACTATTTAATATGGTAGTTAATGTCACTATATTAAAGTCACTATTCACATCACGTACAATGGTGAGTATACACGTTCAGTGAACTAACATTGTGCTAACAAAACCACGCCAAACGTACCTGTTCACAGCACCTGCTTAAGCTTTCCAGCATCAGCAAATGTTGTGGTTGTAGTTCCCGAACCCCGTTTGTGATTGGTGTGCAAGGAACTGATCAGGTGTGTTCTTGGTAGAAAAAAGGAAACAATAACATGAACTGGGCTGATTTATCAGTGCGTTGCTGCGCAATTCAGTTGACAAACTAATCAAATGTTGTATTTAGGCGCTTCAGTGTACTCCATATCTGCTTGAAGTGAACTTCTAGAAGGGGAGCTTTTCAATATTTTGGTAGTTTAAGTCAAATTACCAAAGTATTGCAGTCAAAAGATAATTAGAGTATAACACAACACTATTTAAGATTTTCAGGTATTTTAAGAGTATTCTGCACGTATTTTTGATTGCTCCATTTTTTTACGGTTGGAGTATATTTTGCATGAATTAAATAAATATTTCAAGAAATATATGTGAAAGGTATTTTGTTCCTATTAATTTAGTATTTACATATTTCAAAACGCATGAAGGGAACTTCAAATGTAGTTTAAGTAAAGGTATTTTAAAATGATTTTAGAAGTATATTTTAGTACTAAGTAAAAAAAAAAAGAAGTTTGTATTTTCGGTCTATTTTACGTGTACTTACAATTATGAACTGTATTTCAAATACACTCAAATTAGCATGTGGTATATTTCAAACGTATTAGTTTTCGCTAAGGGTCAAGCCTGCCACGACGACCCGACGTCCGGACACCTTGGTTACAGCCGGACCCTGGCACGTATTCGTGAAAAGTATTACTGGCCCAAGCTCCCCAAAACCGTCCACCTGTACACGCGATCATGTCATGAATGCCAGCGACGAAAGAAACCTCCGACGAGGCCGACCGGACTCTTGCAGTCAATTCCTCCGCCAACAGCACCCTTCCAGCAGATCGGAATGGATCTACTTGGCCCTTTTCCGCCGTCAACGTCGGGAAACCGCTGGATTATCGTCGCCACCGATTATCTCACACGGTACGCCGAGACGAAAGCCCTTCCAGCAGGCACGGCTGTTGAAGTCGCCAAGTTTTTCATCGAGTCCATCGTCCTCCGGCACGGCGCTCCAGAAGTTTTGATTACAGATCGCGGATCATCGTTCATGGCGCAGCTGACCCAAGAAATCCTCCGACTCAGTCACACCAGCCACCGTCGTACAACTGCGTACCACCCGCAGACCAACGGGCTGACGGAAAGACTGAACAAGACAATCGCCGACATGATCTCTATGTACGTCGACGTTGAGCACAAGACGTGGGACGAGGTGCTGCCCTACGTCACGTTCGCCTACAATACGGCGGTTCAGGAGACCACTGGATTCACCCCTTTCCAGCTGGTACATGGTCGGAAGGTGACGACCATGCTGGACGCAATGCTGCCCCATGAGCCATCTGACAATCAGAGCGACGACGCCCAGGTGGTTGCTCAACGCGCCGAAGAAGTCCGCCAGCTCGCCCGACTCATGATTCAAGACCAGCAACGCGTCGACGCGGGCCGCTACAACCTTCGTCGCAGGGACGTTCACTTCCAGCCCGGAGACAGGGTGTGGGTGTGGACGCCCATCCGTCGCCGCGGTCTCAGCGAGAAGCTTCTGAAACGCTATTTCGGACCCTACAAGATCATCCGACGGCTCGGCGATCTGAACTACGAAGTCCTTCCCGACGGAACGCGTCCATCTGCAAGACGCCAGCCACGACCCGAGGTGGTGCACGTCGTCCGGCTGAAGCCGTATTACGAACGATAGCACTTTCCACCGTCGTCGACGTGTGAACTGTGAACTGTGAACGGTGAACAGTGAACTGGTGAACTGTGAACTATGGCTCGCAATTCTACTGTCCTTTAGTTGTGGATTTGTTTTTCGTTTTTGTGCTGCATCGGGACGATGCGCTTTTAAAGGGGGGGATAATGCCGCGCGCAAGGTCACGGACTTGTAGAAGGTTCTCGTTTGTTCTTACTACTGACATAACTTCTATCGTTTATCCCTGCTCTTGTTTTTCGAGAATGTGCATGTTCATTCTCGCCCCGAGCGCGCTACGCTCGAACCTTCTCCGCCGAAACTTCGAGATAGCGCTCACTCTAGATAAGAGGCCGCCAGCGACTTTGTCGAGTCAGTCTCGCCCCAGCGCTCGATTCTGCTGACACGCCGACTTCGACGCCCGCGACGCTCTGCTTTCTTCTGTTTCCTTCTTTATTTTTGGCACAAGTTCGCCACATTAAACGTTTATTTATTTCTGTTTATTTCTCGTTTATTGGTCACGAATCACCACCCGTGACAATATAAGAAAGTAAAGCTTGGGCGAAGACTCGGAGGGACGATGTTTTAGCGCGTATGAAACATATTATTATGTCGCGCTCTAATTATGCATAATACAATTACCACAAAACAAACCTCACTATCTTGTTTACTATTTATACTGTTATCCATATGATGCCTTTTTTTTAAATTTTACTTATATGCTGGCAATCTCTTCACTGACATGTATATTTTTTTAAATTTTATTTACAGCATGTTCTACGAAGGAAACCACAGCAGCGAACTTCCGCTCTTCTACAGATAGGTAACAAGTGCTTCCGTTTCATCAGCTCAAGGCAATCAAAGTTAGGTCGAAATTCCGCCTATTGTTCACTTAGCTCATTGATACTTGCAATGCTGAAGTCATATAAAAATACAGATACCTTACAAGACGCCCTGCTAAAATCCCAAGAAAGTCCAACCGCGAAACCGTTTAGATCTGACAATGTTGTGGCCATTAATGAAACTAAGCCAAGCACGAGGAGTCCGGCAAAGATGTCTAGTCTGTGGTTCTGCGGTATGATGGCCATAAATTTGCGGGTACATGAAAAGGGGGGGGGGGGGGGGGGGGATTGATTAAACGCAGTAGCTGCGTATCTTGTTTTTTTCGTGTCCCTATTTCATTTTTCTACCGCTGCAAACGTTTACATTTTGACGCCCCAGTTCTATGTTGCTAATGCTGTTTTTCATTACATAATTTGTTATTACACTCTCGAACTCAACAGTAACGCGCGCCTTTTATAGACATACAAGACAAAAAAGGAGCTTGTTAAAAAACAAAACAAACGATAAAAAAGGAAAACACTACTCAGATTGCGTAGAAAATCTGCGCTGGTGCGTTACTCGCAATCGGTAAAACCTACGCCCATAATATATTGCCGATTAAGAAATACATGACTTGAGCCCCTCCCACAAAGCTCCATGCTCGTGATGACTGAATATTTCCTCCTCTCCACTTTCCTCTTCTTTCTCTATGCTAAAGCGGAAAGAGTGCAAGGATGCTGAAGGACGAGCTTGACCCGCATTTTTCACCTTGCAACAGACTATAGGGGACATATTATAGTTTAATGCGGTACTCGGTGTTGCTGTTTCATTTTCCTTAAGAATGTGCGTTAAATAATATCGGTGATATCTCTTGTGACAACTAGAAGGGGTGCTGGGCTGCCTCCGAAGACATCGCTCGAGTCACCCAGACCGGCTTACTACAACTTAAGCCGACAACAGCGAGGTCGTTGTATCATATTTAACGTGCAAGTAAGTCAATACTACACACTTTTTCTGAGAAGGCATGAAGGGTCATTTCTTAGTTTTTGTTTTCAGCAGTCCTTAAAAATGTACTGACGTGATCTCTTTCAGTGCACTATGTCGCTGAAATATGTCGTACTTCATCTAACATTCACAGCCAATACTCCTGAAATATTTATCTAAATGTATTTATTTATTTATTTATTTCATCACCCTCAGGGCCCATCGGGCGTTACAGAGGGGGGTGGGTGCAATAAGTTTACAAAGTACAAATGATCAATTCATAGTACAAAGAATACACAACAACAACAAAACAAAAGAAAAAAGTATAAGTCAACTAAAGCAACAAATTGCACAGTTATAAAAGTAATCAATTATGGCTGCCTTGAAAGCAGAAACATCTTCAATCGCGGCGATGTGTGGGGGAAGGTGGTTCCACTCTGAACAAGTTTTTGGCAAGAAAGAATAAAAAAAAAATATGTTAGTGCTGCAATGAGGTATGGCAACTTTGTACTGGAGATCAAACCGGGATGAAAGGTAAGAAGGCTGTAAAAAGAGTTCCTGTTTGAGCACTGGGTTATGAAAAATATATTTTATGAAAAAGTGAGAGACGCGCAGTTTTTTTCTTGAAACATTAGTTCAGGAATACCAGCATTAGACTTTATTAGTCACACGCTAGCAAGGCGGTAATAATTAGAGTTAATAAAACGGGCTGATCGATTTTGAACAGATTCAATGGCATCAATAAGATAACGTTGTGCTGGATCCCATATCACAGAAGCAATTAGCTCAATATATCAAGTCATTAGATGACTAAAACAGTTTCAAGATTAGTACAATTGAATTGCGATTTTGTGATCATGTTCACTTTGCGCCATATCGGCGTTAAATTAACATTACCGCAAAATCGCAATTTTCGAGAATTTCTTCCTTGTGTCAAATAATGCGGAAATTAAAATCATAATATATCCTGGCTAGGATTGCCTAAATTCTAGAGATGATTTTTCTGGACCATTCAGCTTTGTACCTTCTCGCATGAGAATGTTAGATTCGTAAGGCCAGGGTTTTAAAGCTTCAAGTGTTATCTGCTAAAAAAAACTTAGAAGCGATTTTTAATGGCGTTTGTATGAGAAACTGGCAGCGAACAGAGCACGAATATACATTAAAACGATAGAATGCGTCCCCCCCCCCCCCCAAAAAAAAAAAAACAAACAAACAAAAAAAAATGTTTTGAAGTTTTGAATTTTTGGAAACTTTTCGCAACGTTCTGGGAGAGTGTTCCGCGGTGCGAAGTTTATTTTAGCGGTGAGAAATGTGGCGGTTTGATCTTAGCGGATGCCCTATTCTTCATGGGGGGTGGATTAAAGAACAACAACAACTATGCATTTACTTTTACGCAATTCACAGTTCAATGTTTTTGTTGTTGTTGTTTTTTTGTTTTTTTTTGTGAAAAAGGAGAGGATGTTAATGAATGGCAATGCTCAAGATACGCCAAGAGCCCCCCAAAATGCGATGTGCTCGGAAAAGACAAAAATTAATTTGCACTTGTTCATGGTCCTAGTTCGCATTACATTTCTTTAGATATAACCGTACTTTTTCTTATTCACTGGGATCCTTTCGTTTTTCACGGTGATTCATCTGTCTTATTCTTCTTCAGGAAAGGGCACGAAGAAGTATTTTTCTTTATATGCGATTATGTACTACAATGAAATAGAAATTAGGGGTGTGCATGCAAATAGTAGTTAGAATTGAATCGCGCATAGTCAACCCTCATTTCAACACCTTTACAAAAACTGGGTGTCATAATATTCCTTGTACTGGGAGAGCTATACATAAGGCGACGCTATTTGATTTGAGCCAGTGTTTGCACATTCCTATACCGTATTTAACAGCAGTAACAGTAGTAACAGCCGCATTACTTATGAACAAGGCCTTTGCGTCTACTTTCACACAGAACAGATATACAGCCAATCATTACATTGCGCATAAATAACATAGCGAATAACCAGATCGAGAACAGGATTCTCCATACAAATGCAATCTTCAAAGATGGTATCTCTGCACGAAGACGTTATCTCTGTCCTGACTCCTGTCAACAGCTAGAGTCATGCTGCCGATCGCGGTTATTGGCAATCTGCGTGCTCCGCGGAAAAGTGAACCCTCAGGTTGTTTTCATAAACAGTGCGGCTATTATTCGAGTAAATACGGTAACTAATTTTACCGCATGTTAGAGCGCACTCAAAGGCCTCAAGGCGTGAAAACACCGAAGCAACGAGAAAAAGCGCAAAGTCACGGCTCATTCACTGAGTTTAACTGAGTGGCCAAAGAAAATACACACCCAGAGAGGCAGTAGTCGTCGTGAAGTTGCACCTTTTACCCCGTTTGATTAGCCCTGTAAGCTCGGAGCATCGGCAGCGCTCTGACTTAAGTGTAGACGAGTTGCGGAGGGAATACCATTTCCAAGTCTCATTACGAGAGAAATTGTTGGGTACGGCAGTTGAATTAGGGGTGGCATGATAATCACATATACGTTAAAATCCCACGTGCATCGCTGTTGAATATAAATTATGTTTGAACCATTATTTCGGATAACGCAATCCATCTATCCTTCGTAGTATTATGCGCCGTACACTTTTCTCGTTTTCTTTCAGAAATTTTCGACATCTGTGAATCTAACTGACAGGTCGGGAGCCGACGTCGATGCCTTCAGAATCACCAACACGTTCCGTAAACTGGGGTTCAAATGCCAACTTGTGCCTAACCCCACCACAAGAAAGGTCCGAGAAACGTTGCAGGAAGGTGAGCACGCCATGTCTTCAAGAAGAGCTTTCACGGCTTCAAGAAGCTTTTAAGGATAGCTTCACAGGTTTGCAATGGAAATGAGAACTTCAAATATTAATAAAGTAAAAGAAAAAAAACAACGAAGATAGTCTTTAATTCAGAGGCAAAACAATGCCCGGTAACTTTTGTATTATCTGACTCTTTTGAGGATATTATTCCTTCACCTTCCTATCAGCTTTTAATCTGTCTATTGATTGTGGAAATGCCTGTATACATATAAATCCCAAGTCGCTGTTATAACCTCGTGGATATCGAACTCAAAGCTAGCAGTAGCTTTGGAATCCGCCTGCTGCCACCCACACCTAGCAGTTGCTAAAGGTAAGCGGCATAATTTAGCTTAAACCATGTGAAAGCAGCTGTCATTTGTTCTAGTTATAACGTTGTCGCCACTTACATGTAGGTAGTGAAATGTCTTACTCGAGTTTCACTCATGGAACTTGGAAGCAGTGATACATTCTGACTTTTAATTATAATGCAATTAAATGCAAAGATGCAAGCGAGCTGGACAAGAATGATGAAAATAATCACTGGAGAAGGGGAAAAAGAGGGACAAAGGACAAACATAAATCTCCAAACACAGCTAGGTGACTGTGTTTTCATCACATTGCGACTCTAGCTGTTATAAACCTTCCTCTGTTTTTTTTATATATAGCGGTTAAACGCTTGACTTGTGATGATTTCTGTTTATTCTTAGGTTTACTGTTTATGATCCAAGCAATAGGCAATAATTTATTGCTTATTGATTGTACACCAAACTTGTCATTTTGGCAGCCGGTACGTGCATTCGTCATAAAGCGCACACGATAAAACACTGCTATACTGATATATAATAACGTGCCATAACATGTATATTACACTAATGAACGCACGTCGACTATACATGATGTGTTACATTATCTACTTGTTTAGTTCAGGCAGAAAATGCTGCTGTGTGTAGTAAACGTCATTTTGAGAATTATGGCATACCGTATCATAAAAGAGATTAATAAGCAAGGATTCTCCTACGCGTTAGCGTTCCTGATAGCGTTTCATTTTTTCTAAAACAGGTACTTGACACACAATAAAGACTAAAGAAAAAACGTACATATTTGCAGCAAACGCTCTAAATAGGGTAAGCATTTGGAGCGAATTACTAACAAAGTTCGGTGTTTATGTTGCGGCGTATAAAACATATTCTCAAAGCAGGCAAGAACGATGCAGCTAGGATACTGTATTTTGACTTTCGAGATCAGTTCGCAGCGTGTCGCTTTGTAACTGAATGATCACTGCCTTAAGAATTTTCACGGAGGTCTTCTCAATTAACGCTTTTCCTTCCACACACAGTATCCATCGAAACAAAGGACGACGCCGACTGCTTCGTGTGCTTCTTCCTGAGTCACGGAAAACTTGGCCGCATCTTCTCCTGCGATGATGAACTGACGTTTCGGCAATTAATAGACCCTGTAATGAGGTCGAAAAGTCTTAGGCATAAGCCGAAATTATTCTTCATTCAGGTAAATGATTTATGTTTTTGGTGCTTAAACTAATACTAGATATCACATAAAAATAAGCAATTGAGGCGTAATATATTACTTGTTTTAATTTTTATTAGGGTTTTTAACCCGGCGGTTACAATTCGACTGCGAATTTTCGAAAAGGTATTTTGGGTGGAACTAGACTTTCAAACACACATGAGTTCGTCCGCAATCGACACGACAGCACGCACAAATAAAATGTCACCAAGGTCACGTATTTACGCTCACGAACTTATGGGCTTGCTTTCAAACTAGCGGCATATTTTTCACAAAATGATGTTTGTATAGTTTTCTCGATTATTCTAATGAAACTTTACGTCCTACGGACATTGGTCACCACGACTGGCAAAAGTAATTCATTACACCACAAATCGACCTAATTAATCAATCTATCCGTGTGGACGACCAGGGGCTCTAACTTGAACACTTGAACAATTTTATTACCCAGATCGTTCTATGTATGGAAACATATTCCTTCCCTTCGCTGGTAATTGAAAATACATTAATCTCCGATGATAAAGAAATGGCGCGGGCAAATCATATCGCGATCATCGAAGAAATATATGTTGCCTCTATATATATTTAACTAGTTCTGCTCGCTTAGGGCATAACTTAATTGAAAGTGCATGTGCAACAGGCATGTCAAGAATATGACGGCACGGATTACAAGGACGCCCCGGACGGATGGTCCTACTCGATTCCTTCGTATCCGGACGTTTTCGTGGGATTTTCTACTCCTCCAGGTGGGTTCCTTTCAGAAAAATGACAACTCGGAAATAAACAATATTTCTGGTGTATTTTTAGCGAATCCCACTGAAAAAGTGTATAAACTTAAGCTCAAGTAAAAAGAAAGATGCCCGCAGATTTAAAATAATAATCTCAGAATTGGGTCACAACTGCTTAAAAATATGAACATATACACAAGCACGCACACACATCGGAGTTCTTTAAATGAGACTTGATTTAGTGCCTGACGACCATTTTTGCTATATACTTGGGTTTGAGACGTTAAGTGTTTAGCACGAGCCTCCAGTTGGTGAAATTCTTTATTACGTGTTCATGAATAGATGAATGTACTATTGTCGGCGACAGGTTAAGTGTAAACTGGCAGCCTTTCCCACCTCTTTTCACTTGAGCAGAATGAACGTTGGAGAAGAGACGACCTCCCCTCCAATGTTCGTTCTGATAAGGTGGAAAGAGGTAGGAGGAGCTCCCAGTTTACACTTAACTTGCCACTAACTTTAACAATGATCGTAACGAGTGCTTGTTAAAAATCTAGATCGGACTTAACTCTAATAACGTTTCCACCCTTTTTTCCACACTGAGTTTCCTTTTAGTTATTCATAAATCGGGGATCGCAAGAAATATTGTTTTGTTTTTTTCGTGTCGTGAACTGTTTAAATTCAATTATGTAAGAAACCCCCCTTCTTTTAACTTTAACATTGACGTATACTGCATGCGTCGTTGATTGTACGCATAGCGACTCAAAAGGTTTGAATGTCTTTCGTCGTCAGGGCCACAACTTGGAATACTCTCTAAATACTTTATTTTGCTTGCAGGTTACTACTCGTGGCGAAATGAGCAAAACGGATCGCATTACATCAACGCCTTGTGCTCAGTGCTCTACGAAGAAGCATCATCGGATAAACCTCGCGACTTTGTGTCCCTGATGGCCGTTGTCAACCGGCAACTGGGACTCCGTTTTGAGTCCTACACACCTTCAAACTATAAGACCCACCGCAAGAAGCAGACGCCTTGCTTCGTCTCGACGCTCACTCGGAAGCTGGTGCTCGCATCACGAGACAGTGCAGCTTAAAGCAAAGAACATATGCCACAAAACAACAGCTTTAAAATATATTAAGCAGACGTAGACTTCTTTGTGAGCAAAGTAAAAGCACCGCTTTTTTGTTTGTTTCTTTTATTTGCATGTTTTTAGAGTGTTAAAAAAAAACCGTAGGCTTTGGTACTAGAGAGTTTTAGTAGATCGCGTTTTCAGGCCACACTATTTGTAGTGGGAGCTCGCGCTGCCACTTCGATGCATGCTCGGAAGCGTGCACCCGTAGCGGTAGCGGGCTTTTGACAACGATCTACCAAAGGCCTTTATACGCACAGTTGCGTTTGAAAGCGTTTGAGTGCGTTTGATTGCATTGCGGCTGCAAGGAACCAGGGCATCCTTGCTTCTTATGTCGCGTGCCAAGCTGTTCCTTCAATTGGATCCCCGCTTCATACGACGCCCAGAGGTGCCGAAGACTCGCCTTTGTTCCTTGGCTCAACGCAGTCAAACGCTCTCAAACGCAACTGTGCGATATTAGACAGTTTTAGTATAGCGTTGCTGGCTCGTACGTACGCAATACGCAATAGTATAGCGTACGCTAAAAATGACCTGCTCGGACCGAATTTAGCTGTGCGTTACGTTTTCGAGGGAACACCGCGCATGATCTTGGTTAGATTTGCTAAAGGCTGCAGAATTCCGCGTGCTTATAGCGCAACCATGCTCATGGAAAGAAATATTGAAAATTAAAACGTGTCCAATCATTTTATTTCAAATTAAACCAAGCCACATCTGCCTCGTCAAGCGCGCTTTTCTGCGGGGTACAGAGGCTAGGAGTAAAGGCCGGTTCAGACACTTGCGTTTGAGTGCTTTTGACTGCGTTGCTTCGAAAGCCGAAAGCGAGTCACCGGCACATCTGTGCTTCGTATGAAGCGTGCAATCCAATTCAAAGAATCATCTGAGCAGAAGATATAAGTAGCAGGGATGTCCTGGGGTGCTATGTTGCGCTTTTTGCACTCCCCAGGGTTTGCTCATCTTGCGGCTGCGGACGCGGCCGCGGCCAGGAGGGATTTTTACGTCACGTGACCAGCTCCATGGGGACAAGGAAGTACCTAGCGTCCCTGCCTAATGGCGGAGAGATCCGCATCGCTTCAAGCACAAAGGCCTGATTTCGCTCGCAGAACTGATTGGGCGGACTTTCAACTGGAATCTAATTGACCGCCCCTTTATACTGTAGGAGCGGCAGGTAAAGTTACGGCCAGGGAGGGCAAATAGGAGCCAAAATAAAGAAAAAACCACACGAGATAAAAGCGATAGTGGTATTTTTATATACCTCCGCCGGCGCCGCGCCTCGCGCCTTCTGTTGTGGTCGAGAGGTTAAAGCGACGGTACTTGTCGTCGCGGCGTGAAAGTTCCGGGTTCAAATCGCGCTAGGGATTTCTTTTTTATTTTTTTGTTATTTTGCGCGTGTCTTACTTTTGAAACTGTGATCCTTTTTTGGAAATCATCCACTTGCACTACTGCGCCTTACACGGTTTTTACTGTTAGTCCCACCTGTTCAATCGAAACACCGGGAAGAAGAAAAAAAAGATCAACGCAAGTTAACGCGCTAATGCAATCATTTCGTAATGTTCATTAAAAGGAAACCAAGCTAACAGCATCAGTATGGCTTTCACACAAGCGGAGCCGAAACAAGCATCCTTTCCCCAGCGTTTACAATTTTATCTGTTTGCAAATAACACTCTTGCTGCGATTCCTTTCAATAACAAGAGACGCCTATTTAGGGCTAATAAAAACTGCAGTTGTAGCAATAAAAAAAAAAAAAAGACTTGCAGCTGTGGATACATTGATTGAGCGAAATCCTACAGGCAAGGCAGCAGGTCAAACGTCTGAGAAAGTTGTAAAACTTAACTAAAAGAGGTCATACTTTTCCTTGCATGGAATGAGATAAAAAGTATATTTATACTCTTTACATTTTGTTGTGACAATCGTTTTGTAATATTAACACATTACTTGTTGAATTTTAGTAGAATAGCAGACGATCACGACCAAATGCAAAAATGAATCAGGCATCGGCCATCGCAAACCCTATCTCTCATGCAAACACCTAAACTGACTTTGGATCAAGAAAATGAATTAATTATAATTAATTCCATATCGACCATTGCAAACCCTCTCTCTCATGCAAACACCTAAAATGACTTTGGATCAAGAAATGGTCAGTTTAGGTGTTTGCATGAGAGAGAGGGTTTGCGATGGTCGATGCCTGATTCATTTTTGCATTTGGTCGTGATCGTCTGCTATTCTACTAAAATTCAACAAGTAATGTGTTAATATTACAAAAAGATTGTCACAACAAAATGTAAAGAGTATAAATATACTTTTTATCTCATTCCATGCAAGGAAAACTATGATCTCTTTTAGTTCAGTTTTACTACTCTCTCAGACGTTTGACCTGCTGCCTTGCCTGTAGGATTTCGCTCAATCAATGTATCCACAGCTTCAAGTATTTTTTTTTTTTTGCTTGTTTTATTTTATTGTTTTTTAATTGCTACAACTGCAGTTTTTATTAGTCATAAATAGGCATCTCTTGTTATTGAAAAGAATCGTAGCAAGAGCGTTATTTGAAAACAGATAAAATTGTAAACGCTGGGGAAAGGATGCTTGTTTCGGCTCCGCTTGTGTGAAAGCCATACTGATGCTGTTAGCTTGGTTTCCTTTTAATGAACATTACGAAATGATTGCATTAGCGCGTTAACTTGCGTTGATCTTCTTTTTATTTTTCCCGGTGTTTCGATATAACAGGTGGGACTAACAGTAAAAACCGTGTAAGGCGCAGTAGTGCAAGTGGATGATTTCCAAAAAAGGATCACAGTTCAAAAATAAGACACGCGCAAAATACAAAAAAAAAAAAAAAAAAAGAAGTTCCTAGCGCGATTTGAACCCGGAACTTTCACGCCGCGACGACAAGTACCGGCGCTTTAACCTCTCGACCACAACCGAAGTTTTTTTTTTTTTTTTTTTTTTTTTTTTTTTTTTTTTTGGAAACATTTATTTACATTTATTTACACAATATCAACAGTGTTCAATTTTGAACAAATTATGTACAATATATACAGGTGACGATTTTTGTCAATGACGCAAAAACTTTTAAGCAAGCGATAGGTAAATTAACTAAGGTGGTAGGGCACCTGCGTGACCTTTGCAAGGGTGACATCTTGCTACGGTAATATGTTCTCCACGAGTAGCTGTCTGTTATATAATATCTGGCGACTGACTGAGGTTTTTAACTATTTCTTTCCATTCATCGTTCTCTTGGCATGCGAGTATGCTGTGGCCAACTTGAATTGCTATGTGTTTAAAATTTACCCAGGAGGGCTTTGCAGCTCCCGCTTCGGTATCTACTTTTCGCGTCTTCCATAAGCTATAAAGGCCTAGTACAACTAAAACATCTTGGATTGTATCCAGGCTTTCGGCAAAATGTAAGTACCGAAAATTTTTTTCAACCACTTCAAAGTCCTTTTTCAGTGTCCTTTTGAAAACGTCCCAAAAAAAGACAGCGTCTACACATAAAACGAAAGCGTGCGTGAACGTTTCAGTTGTTTGGCAAAGACGACAGTTGGTGGTTCCATATACTCCAATGCCGCGGGAGTTGAGCCACTCTTTTACTGGTATGGTACGTGAATGAAATCTGTAAAAGAAAGTCTTGCACTTGGGAGGAATTTGCATTTTCATGACTCTTTTTAGAACATCCGTTCTGCAATTTTTTGGAGGGTCATAAGGGTGCAGGCGAAACACTGGGTCCGGAAACAACGAAAGCAGAAGTTTCCTCACCAGTAATCTTTTTGAGCACGATGTTAAAAAGCTTAGGTCAAACCTCGCTCTTAGGAACTCCAACGTGTCTGCTACTTCTTTATAATATCCTCGTAACGATATTTTACTTGTGGTTAGTGAATCATCAGCTGGTGGTACTAAGTATTTTGCCAAAAAGAACTTTTTGCACATCTCCAAGAAAGGATGCTGTTCGTGTCTAAAAAAATTCCATCTGGCAATTAGTTGCCTCACAAAGATGTGACCCAGACCAAGCCCCCCGTCTTGAATTTTCCGAAATAAGTTTGTTCTTCTCATTGGCTCATACGGTGACCTCCAGATGAATGTCGCAAATATCCTGTTGAACCCGTTAACTGTTATTCTGGAACAATGCATAACCTGCAGAAGGTATGTTAGTTTTGACAAAAAGAAAATATTGCAAACGGCAACTCTACCAAAGGTTGACAGATATCTGAGGTTCCACATGCGTGCAGCTGATTTGACATTTTTTCCAACGTTGTCCCACATTGCCTTTGGATTGTCCACTGCCTTCAGCGGTACTCCCAACAGTTGTGGTTTCTCGGTGGACCATTTTATGTTCACAAATAGGGGTGGAGTCGTCCCCCACTCCCCACACCACGAGCCGCAACTTTTGTCGTTGTTTACTGCCGCACCAGACACGACACAAAAATGCGAAACGCGCGACATTGCATTTTCTATGCTTGGCTTGTTGGAGCACACAAGCACAACGTCGTCGGCGTAGGCCAGAAGCTTGACTTCGCAGCTGTGGAGACGAAAGCCTTGAACTTTGTTGTCGTTCAGGATGCTTCTGCAGAGTGGTTCAAGGTAGAGATCAAAAAGAAGGGGTGACAAGGGGCATCCTTGTCTGACCGAACGCTGAACTTCTATTGATCGTGTAAGAGTTCCGTTGACTATTAATTTGGTTGATATGTCAGTATAACAAAGTTTTATTCCACGTTCGACATTTTCTCCTACTTGTATGTGCCTCAGAAGAGAGAACAGAAAGGAGTGTTGGACTTTATCAAAGGCCTTTGCAAGATCGAGTTGTAAAATTGCCGCGGCTTCGTGTGTTTGTTGGCAAATTTCTATTATAGATCGAACTATGTGAAGGTTGGTTTGTATATTCCTTCCCTTGATGGAGCAAGTCTGGTGGTCACCAACAATCAAAGATATTACGCTTTGTAATCGACCTGCTAGCACGCGTGCAAAAATTTTGTAGTCGTTATTGACTAAACTTATAGGTCGATAACCTTCTACCCTCTGAAGCTTGTCTAAGTCCTTGGATTTAGGTATTAACACTGTGTGTGCCTTCC